AAAGTCATATATATATATGTGTGTGTGGTGGGGGGGGGGGGTGGGTATGTGTATGTATGTGTGTATTTGTGTACCCGTGTATGTGTGTGTACACACCCATATGTGTGTGTACACACCCATATGTGTGTGTCTGTGTCTGTGTGTACTGTGTGTACGTGTGCGTGTGCACACGTATGTACACGTATGGTGTGTACATGTGTGTGGTTCTGTGTCTATGTATATATCTGCGTACACGTGTGTAGACTTGTGAGTGCTTGTGTATATATGTATATATACACATATACCTAACATAAACATATTTACATGACTGGAAAAGTTTGAAAGTTTGATGCTTTTGAAATCAGAACGTGTACAGTTCGCTATGACAGGTCCAGTGCAAACTTACTTCCCGCTCTTCTTCTTGATTGTAATGAACAAACGTTACGATTCCGGCTGCGAGCATAAGCGAAGCTCCGAAGGCCATTTTGGCCCGGACTTCAGCGTTCGACATGACGATTTTGTATTTGTTGATACTATTGTACACAGAAAATAAACCGGACGTGATTGTGATCTATCTATATATATTCGTATGGGGCTTACAGCAGCTGTGAAAGTGAAACAACTCTCTCTGAAGAAAAAGAAAATATGGCCGGATTTGCCAACTTCAGGAAATATTGGGGAACAAAACATGAAATGAGTAAAATACCTTACTCCGGTAACTAAATTCGATTTTTCTTCGCACGATCCATAATTTTGACAGTTATTCTGAATATTCAGGAAATTATGGAAAATGACTTTCATATTTTTTGAGCCTCGTAATTTTCTGATTTCACGATTTCGGGTGTTTTGCCATACCCAAATATACCGGATTCAATCCAAAAAATATACAACAATATTTTGTTTTGTTGTATATTTCACCAGAAGTCAAAAAGAGGGTAGACCCTCTTTTGACTTCTGGTAGAGAATAAAACTCTATTTTTGGATTTACTCCAAAAATGTCAATAAAACCTTCATGGAACACTACTGCCAATGGGAGGGCTCGGGTTAATATGTACCAATACAAATGTGGCATCACTTTATCGGTCCCAAAACAGAAATTACAGAATATCTCGTGCATTCGTGCATTTGCCGACTGAAAGTATCAAAATACTTTGCGAATATTCAACGATGTCTCAAATACAATCACGCTTGAATTTCTAAATTCTCATGACATATAGCGCTCCAATATTTCTTAGGAAATATACCAAAATATACCTGAATATTTATTAGGGCTGTATTTTCTCATTATTTCGTTTAAGTTGGCAAATCCGGCCTAAATATTTACCACAACGGACAGACAAAATAGTATATCGAGAAAGTAGGAACCAGAGAGGTCAAAACTCTAGAGTCTAGACTCTCTCTCTCTCTAAAATTTAAATACTAAATTAGACGCCACAAATGATTTTTTTTATTCAGTATCAGTATGGAAATATCAAACATCACGCACAAATCTTCAGGAGAAATCTTAATGCCACCTCTGCAAGAGCCACCTAAACCGCCACCTACAGATAGAGCCACCTAAATATACCACCATTGTAAGTGCCACCTACATTCGCCACCTACACCCATTATAGACGCCAGCCGTGAAAATTCTGGCTTGACACCATTACTAAAATATTCACTATAGTAAACACGTGCGTACAGTACATTATATATATGTAAACACCACGGAAATTGAGCGTTATAGCGAGTTTGTATTGAGCTGTACTGAGAGATTATATAGCTAGTAGATATTAAAGTGAGGCCGGAAGATCATGTCAGTCAAAGTGGAGTGTAAGTCACAGTACCATCCGGGAGAGTAGGATGTAAAGACCGGTGTACTATTTGAACTTCCAACTGGAGATCAAGAGGTTGATAATGTAGATGCTGTTGGAGATTGTGGGTATTTATCACTTCTAGAAGATCCTATTTTTGAGACAGCATACGAACATATATGCGTATTATAGGACATAAATCATACTTAAAATCCATAACTACATACATACATGCACACATACGTATATATATATATATATGCATACATACATACGTAGATTTATATATATGTATACTTTTATATATATATATATATATGAATACATACATACATAAATGCGTACATATATTTATATATTTATATATTTATATAAATATACACATATATATATTTATATATATAAATATAAACATATATATATATATATATATATATATATATATATATATACATGTATATATTTATATAGATATTTACATAAATAACTAAATACACACATACATACATGCATATATACATACATACGTACATGTATATATCTATATATTTATATAGATATGTATACATATATATATATATATATATATATATACAGACATACGTATATATATATATATGTATGTATACTCATTTATATATTTATATAATTACTTACATACATATATACATACAAATATACATATATACAAAAAAAACATATATACATATATGTTATATATATTTATAATTTCATGCAATTGAGCTGATCTACAACACATACCAAGCATTTAACTCGCCAGAAAGACACTATAATCGTAGTGATTGCAAATTAAAGAGAGCGAGGACAATAAATAATACATACAAGATTATGTTTCGGTTAAGACATTACATGTCTCAATACAATGAATATTAAATACGTACATATACTATGGTTTCGCGTAGGGTTTTTAGATCCTAAAAGCGTAGGTAGCTCTTACAGTGGTGGTAAATTTAGGTGGCTGTTACAGTGGTGGCATTAAGATTTCTCAATCTTCAGAGTCTCAGAGCCTCTGTATTCGACCTATCAAATACACGAGGACAATAAATTGTGTGTGTGTGCTTTTTTTCTAAAAGCTGTCCCATGGCCTTCTAAAAAATAGACAGCTGTCCTCAATGAAAACAGAAAAATATCATGAGACAGCCCAGTCGGACTAGTCCCGACTCCCGACTGAGTCCCGAGCCAGCCGCCCAGGCCCCAGAGCTGAGTGACTGTGAGCCTGAGTGGCTAAGACTCGCCCTACAAGTCAATATGAGAGGAGCCGCCGATATATTTATATTTTCAGTAAAAAAAATTACCAACTTTTTTAAAAACAATTAGGTCAAGACGAGTGAAGAGAGAAAAATGAAAATGAAAATCATACAATTTACAAATCACCACCACTCACCACTCACCAGTCACCACTGTGCTGGAAAAGTGAAAAATGAATATTTCAAGGAGGCTACACAACAAGTCTACAACTTTACAAAACATAGGGAGAATTTCTAAAAGCGGACGAACAGAACTATTTTAAATTAAAAAATACCTCAGACCTCATGAATCGTGCATTTTTGATTTCACATACATAGAACAGAATACATTTGTACGTGTTTCAAAACCGGAATTGCACAAGTTTAGGTGCTATAGCGACTGTATCATTGTCTTTATACGCATCCGTGCCTTTGTGAATGTTTCTTTAGCTTTCGTTGCAGTCTCTCCTCGACGATTGTTCCAACTCGCTGCTTGAAACTCTCACTGTGTACTTATAGGTTATGCATCTACAGTAAGCAAAGTAAAAGGATAGTACCATGGCGGCCGCTCGGTTTCGCCCCTCTCTCAACGAGATGAACGAAGCGATAGAGGCCGAAGGTGCCTTCAGTATCAAACCTGACTCGCTTTACTACTACGATGATGATGAGATAGTGTGCACAGGGACTGTTCAGCTCAGTCCCTTTCATTCGATTCAGAAAATAGAGGCTGTGCTGCAATCAACTGTGATATACACTAAACGTTCCACTAATAAAAAGACCAAACGTCCAGTGTTCCGCATCCGTGTTTCTATACCGGAGTTAGATATGGAGTCTTTATCATTGCAACCGTTCGAAGTGAGAGTCAAAGTGCCTATGTTCACACCCCCAACGGTACACAGCAAGGGTACGTTCCATATTAGTCAGAGAATCGTACGGATCGATGCATTCGTGCGGTGGAGCCTGGAGCTTGTAGGGTTTTACCCACAGGAAAACTTACTTACACTCTCAGGTCCATCTTCCCGGCGTGCACGTTCAGCTACAACCACAACACTTGACAGAGACTTCAGAAGCGGTGAGACTGCGACCCTAATGGAGCCTGTACCGGAAGTGCTTACGTTGGGTGAGGGTGGTGGTGAAAATGAGCATGAGAATGAGAATGGGGAAATCGGAGCTGACGGAATTCTGGTAACGGAATCTGAGTCTACAGAACAGGATGCAGAGAATGAGGAGAGACGACGGGAAGACGCGGCAGCGCTTGGAACTTCGTTGGAGCAGGAACCACGGCTTATCCTGCTGGCAAGGACTAAGATTAACAAGCGGTCGTTGTATGAAAAGACAGCAGGAGAGGTAACGGTCGAGGGGAGTACGAGAGGAACGATCGTAAAACAATTGAAAGGAGAGACGAAAGATATGCCAAGTGTAGAACACGACGATGTATTAGCCGATACAGAAATGGGGGAGATATCTGATGAAGGCCTGGGAGAACCAGAGGAACCTCGACCATCGGTAGTCGAAAATGTGGCCTCGAAAACTTTCCAACCAGCAACTAAAGCTGATTTGCAGTTTATGTACGAGGCACAAGATAACTCTTTGACTTCTTACCAGAGTGCTGGTAGCTCTAACAGCGATAAGCATGGCGCTATATCCCTCGAGCATCCAGAGGAACAGGCTCGAGCAGATAGAGAACGGGAGATAGCGGCCACTGAGTTGGATGCGATCTTGCAAACAGATTACGAAATCGGGGACGATAAGTCCGATGTTCACAAGAAGGTGTTCATTATGCGTGCCACTTTGACCCAATCTACCACACTCTGCAATAAGGAGCCCTTCGAAATCAAGGTATCACTTCTGAATGAAACCAAAACTATTATAGCTCGCAGCATCGAAGCAAGCCTGGTCCAGGTCAATTCGTACTTTCTGAGTGGTCGAAGACTGAGGCAGAGCACAACCGTGGCCAGCGACAAAATCAAATTATCCAAATTCAAAACTAAGTCCCTATATACACACACGCTCACAATCGATCCCGCGTGCAAGAGATTAGCAAAGGACCTTGAGAATTTCGCGTCTGATGGCTATAATGGCGTCATTCCCGCACCCACGGCCTCTGTTACTGGTGTCAAAGGGTATAGTCTGCTTGTGGTCGATTACAAGGTTGTGATCACTGTAAAGGTTTGGGGTGGTGATGATATCGTGAAGACTATCGCTGTGGACTTGGAGAGTGTTGCCGAACGACCAGGACGATCAGACCGCTACCTAGACTCCCAGCGACTACCCGTACCACAGCGGGATAGTGTGAATCCTTCACTTCTAGCAGGTAACAATTCTTCCGGGGCGCAGGAGGTTGTCGATGACGACAACACTGTATACGATGGCTTCGCTGATGCTGGTAGTTCAACCAGTAACCTAACTGCGGTTCACGCAAACGCTTCCTGTTCGAATCTCAACTCTGACACGAGCTCAGGCCCATTCACCCCCGACAGGCGCGGTGGTCGACAACGGTCTAATTCTACGTCACCGCGAGTAGGTCCTGTACCTGTATCCTTAGGTGTAGGTTCGTCTCAGTCTGTCGAACGTATCCAGTCTAATCTGTCTCTTCGCTTTGGTACATTGACAGCCCCCCTCCGCATATCTTCGCCTGCTCTGTCGGCAGCCAATACGCCGCCGCAGTATGGTGAGATCGGATCGAAGTCCACTAAATCGTACGGCAATCTCGAACGTCGACGTCAGTCGTCTGCGGATCGTCGTGGTTCTGTATCTGTGTCGGATTCCATGCTAAATGACAATGGTGAAACTCCAGGAACTCGTAGGAGGAGCAGACAAGGATCAGTCGGTGCGCGAGGTATCCGACGTCTTAGTAAGGCGATCACACCATTACTTGGTATAAATGGTAGTTCTGGTAATATAACAGTTCCGCCAGAATTTACGCGGAGTGAGAATGATGTGGCTCAAGACTCGCAAACACCCAATACATCTCTGCACGATTTAGCAGAAGGTATAGATGAAGGTAGTGATATCCCCAAGAAAAAGAAGAGTAGTAGGCGTGGCACATTTAACGTGGGTACTCTAAGACGTCTGAGTAAGGCTATTCTGCCTGTGCCAAATACAACTGACTCGAGTGAGGGTACCGAAGTAAGTGAGCAAAAGGCATCTGCTGGAAAGAAGAATACCTCTACTGGTAGCACAGATGATGTCACAAGTATTAATGCCGGAGGAAATCATGTGAATTCACTACCGAAAACCACCTCTGGTGTACTTTTGCAGATCAATGACAACAACGCAGGTATTAGTGACGATGATGGCTTACCCGCGTATTCACAGGTGGTAAACTAGATATGCTAAAGCAGTGGGTGCATTCATCGGCAAGTTCCGCACTCGAATTCGATTTGTGAAGCAATCCGGCCCTGTGTGTGAATGCAAATTGCGCAGCGATTGCGCATTCGATTTCCGTATACACAAACTTCAAATTCGGGCGCTACTTGTGGAGAATATAATTAACTGTGCAAGCGACTAGATAAGCTGTTCCATTTCATATCAACATGCCAAAATGATCAGCATGACGAATCTGGTTATATAAATTGCCAAATAAAAGTGAACATGAGTACTTTCAGGTACCAGGCTCCGCAAAGAAAATATACTCCCTTTTACATACACGACACAAATAGACAAAATAAATGCAACTTTCATTGGAAACCAATGCGATTATACTATCCTTCTCTTTCCGTATGTCGGACCATTTAATCCTTCTATGTCGAGGCGATATTTTAAAAGCTTTTAATGGCACGCACTGCCGTAGTAAAAACACTGAATACGTAATCTGAAACCCAATGTTTAACCTCGTAAATCACCAATTCATGGAATACCTCGCTTTCACATAGCACTAATCTATATTAATACCCCTTCGTGAAATATCCTATAGCCATTCTAGATCTCTCCGAATCGATCATTCTCATTTGCAACCGCCATTGAGCAGCAAAAATGAAATTCTTTGCACTGATGGTACAATTTGATTACCCTCCTTTGCCCGTCTATTTTACTGTAAGTCACGCGTGAATGCACATCGAGCAGAAATTATGGTGCACTATTTGACTACCCTCCTTGACCCGTATATTTTATTATACGTCACGCGTGAATGCGCATCGAGCAGATAAATATGGTGAACTAATGAAGAGCACAGCCACCACCGAGAACAAATCGATGTGATCTATTGAGCTTGCGAGCTTAAAACTTCCATGTAATTAGGCAATTCCACTCCGTCAAGAAAGAATGACTCCCGCCTCGGTGCACGCGGCGTATATGGTGTATCTTCTGCCTCTAAGCATAGCGCGGTTGGGACCGCCGGAATGGGTTCCAAATCACGACTAAACAACTTTCTATCTGCATCATTTATACTCGTCACACTCAACCTTGAGGCAATACCAGATGTTTTACGTTTCAAGCGTCCTGGTAGACTGGACAACGAGGACAACTTTAGACCGCCGCTACTTAGGGAACGCGTCCTTTGAGATGTGACTGCTTTAAGATCGCTTGCTCGTCTCCCTAGCGGTCCGAATGACTTTGTACTCTCCTCATTGATGACTTCATAGTCCGGAAGTTGACTGGAAGTGTCCACCTGACGGGGCGAGTTCACTCGCAAAGGGTCTCTGGTAACTTCTCCCGTATTAGTTGACATATCACGCAAACGCCGACTAGCTGAAGGTGGACCAGAAGGTGCGTTATCGTTCACCGTTGATATGCTCAGTGGGTCAGAGCAGCCAGAACTGGTTGAACCCCTGCCAGCGTTAAAATCGTCCACAGAATAATCCTGAACGCCCGATTGATCCGGCATAGTTTCGATACCACAGCTTTCTAACACTATAGGTATATCACACACTATATCAGGCCCTCCCCAGACGCGGCATTTCACTTGCACAGTGTATTCAACGGAAACTAGAAGCGTCTCCATAGTATCTACGACTTCTGCCGTAGGTGCAGGCACATCCCCTCTCACTCCCTCACTAGAGAAATTGTTGGTGAAAATGGGCTTTTTCGGACACGCTGGGTCAAGTATCAGTGTATGCGTTTGAACAGGCTTCAATTTCCTGCCGATTGTTTTGATACTCAATTTTTTCGTTGCCCTAGCCACCACGCAGCTGGCAAAACTAGCAGTGTAATTATTATTCAGATTGTACGTAGTGGTTTGTATCAGTTTCGCGGATACCGCCCTTGCCACCAAGACTCTGGAACTCGTTAAAACCGATACTTCAATACCGAATGGTTTGTTGTTACTCAGTGTGCCAGGTTCCCTGATACTGCACCGCATGATAATGTAATTATCCTGAGTGACCTCACTGTATTTACCGAAATCCGTCTCCAGAATCTTGTCCAACTCCAAATTTTCCATCGCTGTGTCACTCTCTCGCAGCGCAAGATCGTCTTGCAATTTATACATGAACTGTAACTGCGCTTTGGTCACGGGCGTCGATTTCGCTGTGCTTTGAACTTGCCTTTCCTCAATAATGGAACGTTGGCGTAGTTCATCGTAGGTATTTTGAGTTTGATTGTCTCTTAGCGATTCTCTAACCGTAACCACCTGTAAGTTAGGAGCATTCGTTTGGACACCACTTTCCGGCTCAGCACAGGCTACATCCCCGTCTGACACAACCCTTGCCACGTCGGTGTTGTTCTCACTCGCTGCGCTCGTGGTAGAAAAATCTATCGAGCCAGGCGAACCGAGTGCAACGGTAGAATTCGGAGCTGATCCTCCTTCGTATACTACCCGTCTATCGCTCTGGGACGCCGTCGCCGCACGTGATCGGCCAACTACTCCATTGTCACGTGCTTCAGGGAATGCAGATGAATTCGAAGGTATCGTAGCCATGGTCGTCGCCCCAGGTGATAGTGTGAAACAGTCCAAAGTAGTTGCAGCCCGCAATCTACGCACACGACCCGGACCTGGTGAGCCCGTCACACGTCTCGGATTACCACTAACCGATGCCGGTTGAGGTGGAAGGTCGTTTACTGTATAACCGCGACCCCGCCTGTTTCTTCTCACTTCGAGTATTGGTACTTCATAACCACTCGATGTGTTCGATCTTTGCGGTGGATGTTGCGGTGAACTTTGGTGAGAGTTTCCATTCAGGCTTTGATCTGACTGCTCTGTTTCCCTAACGTCACCTGTAGAAAGAGATGGTCGACGCACACCAGAAATAGTTGACCGCTGTCTCCGTGACCAGAGTGATGAGCGTGACGGTTGGAAGCTCCTTTTGGAAAGTGTTGAAATGCCTTCCACCGTCGCGTGCATGCAATCAGATTGATATACAGTGCGTTTATCGATTTCCTTGTAGGCAAGAACAAGTAATGTGTGATCCTGTGCGGCTACCTCTGGGTCACAGTGGTCCAGAGAGAACGCATTGATAACTTCTCCCACCAACTCAACAGTCCAAATGACCCGTATTATGACTACAACGTATATACTGCTGAGTGCAACTGTATGGCGTGTATTGAAGGCTGGCGGCGTAAAGATTGGCACTGCGAAAGTCGCCGCGTACTCGAGATCTACACCTTGTTCGACAAGTGACACCTGCAACGGCTCTTTGAGCATGCTAATCTTCCTAGCTGTTTTCACGCGCCCAGTACCCGGATAGTAATAAACTATCCTAGCATACAGTACGAAATTAAGATTCCGTACTCTTTCTTCTCCCTTATAAAAGTGTACTTTTGCTGTACAACTAATAACTTCATCGTCATAGTAGTGGTCACGATCCGTCAGTACCGAATATTTTCCTAAATTAGTGACTCGATTCCCCAAATTGAAGGTTGGCACGGACGATGCCCCTTCATCCTCCATTCCGTCAGTTAAACGCCGTGCGTGGTGCAAGATAGACAGCACCTTAACTTGACCGTAATATTATCCCGTATTGTGAGGCTTGATGGGTATTTCTGTTCAATTTAGAAGGCTACGGTATGTATGTGTCCATCAGAGTCCTATTTCTATAGTCCTATATTCGACTATGATATTGCTGATAGTAGTTCCTATAGAAAAAGCACTGGCGAGTGGTGAGTGGAGAATTGGTGACTGGTGACTGGACGAGTGGACGTTGTATGTATTTATTACTCACTGAAAAAGAATGTTCTTAGCCTCTTAGGTCTCTTGATTTGTAGCTTTTTTCAATTTTTTGAAAATAAAGAAACAAAATACATAAATAATTAAATACTTTCATAGCCATCTTGAATTCTTGATAGCAGGCCGCCCGATTGTCAAAAATCACCTATTTCTATATTGAAAATTTTCGCTACTCTTTCTATTGGATGCGAAGCATATGTACATACATTGTAACTTATCTCTCTTGAAGTAGATAATACTATCCCTATAAAACACACACATAAGCACGTATAATAACATCGATAAGCGCAACAAATACCTTTATTCGCCTTAATTCATTGCTAATTATGCCCCTATTTGAACGGCTACCGATCATGTAATTTAAGCTGCCAACTGATCACATCCTTCCGTAATATGTTTAAATAGAAGATTCCGTCTCTCTTGTACTCGTACATTCCTATCAAATTGCACACCACGAACTTCCAAATCGTCATTGATTCAATCTGATGACCCATTCGTTGCCCATGCATGCACACCTAGACTTCTCGTTAAGATAATCTTCTCACGCATGCCGGCTAGACTGGACTTAGAGCCCGAAACTTCAAATTGAAACGTTTCAGTTCTAATACACACACTACATGGCTTTGTATCGTCAGAAAATTGCGCCATTGATGGTGTACATCGTCGTCTTCCCCATTAACAGCAACTTGTAAGTTTTGTATATTGGTTGCTCGTGCTTTCGATCAATGTCTGATCCTTGTATTGTATATTGAGTGTGAAAACCACATTGTTGTTGGCTGTTATATCAATCATAGCTGACAAACATAACTGGTTTGAAAAATTTTGAATATATCTTTACCGCAATCTGGGCAGGTAATCGTTAATGATGTACATGCAGAGTGTGATTGTGTCCGCGTGCTCACAATCTTTCTCAGAGTCTCAACACTTGTTTTGCTCTGTTACAGATATATCAGTGAATAATTCCGTATGTTAGTATTAGTACATATGATATTCACAACTTTTGCTCATATTACTACCATTACGTAAACGGCATATTTACGATAGGTTAGACCCCTGTGCTTCAGTAGCTGAATCAACTCATTGGGAGCCATCCAGTTGTATTGGTGGCATCTCTGTGTGTATCTGCGCGTAGGCTATCAATACACATATGACACCACTCAAAAAACCTTGATTCCTTTTTTACTATCCATACTCGATATTTTGCAGTGTAGCACTGTAGCCTGCAATATACATATATGATGGTTATTTAAACGCAGGGATGAGTGATACTGGTGTAACCTCGTATACATAACAACCATAGGCGATATTATATTTGTTTGAGCTTGTACGTGTTCCTCTACGTTCTGCTTGTCACTTCTACTTGACAGCTCTCGTACATGTGTGCGAGCACAGCTGCCATCCTTCGACGAAGTTGCTTGGTACACTTTGTGCGTGTTCATTTTTGTTCGTGCTCCTCAAAGGCGGTAACGTCAACGTTTGGTTCATCACTAGATGTGTAAAACTAAAACTGATATAGTATTAATAAATGTAGTAGTGAGTTCTAATTAACGTAGTACACATTGTATCTTCGCATTAAAAGAAATACATACCCATTTCCTGAGCGGACAGCACCGAAATGAAGCTACAGTAGTCGATCGTTGCTGGCCTGTGCTTATCGGCGATAGAATATTCCGTGTTTAAGTGATGAATTTGGTATTGTATCATACTTCCAATGGATGTGCATGTATGTATGGCGGTGAGAAATGTTTCCTCTGTGAACCCATTATGCTCATTTGTAGTTTTTAGCTTCGTTGTTCCTGCAACGACAGCTATATGTGCTTTTGGCTCGGTTTGCCACGACCGCAGTCAAATAAGAAATATATCGGTCAACATCAAAAGGCGTCTACTATCTTCCCTAGTATAGGGTACAGTTTGACATAGAATCGCGTTTTTGTTTCCCTTTGCTTGTGGGTTTGATGCCTAATGTCTTCCAGAATAATTCTCGAAATATGCATATTAAGTTTTGAGTCCCCGCGGTCGGCGTGTTGTTGAAGCAAACATTTCTTAATGCATTTTTTTTATCGGGTCGCTCGAGTGTTATCCCACATGTACAGACCCACCATTTACATCTGATATGGCTAACGCAGCTTGCGTTTCCTCTGCGAAGGCTTGTACAACCGGGAGGGCTTTTTACATATCAAAGGAGGAAAGGAAAATAGCTTTTTGAGACAGTCTGCATACTTTATATGTCCTTTCTTTCTCTTGTTTGATATATATCTATTCTATGTCTTTTCATTTGCCAATTCATGCGGGAAACAATACTGTTCCATCGGAATCCAAGAGAGGCAGATAGGAATTTTATTTTTATTTTTCAACAAAAAAAATATGCCATAATGTACGAACATATTGTATGGCTCTCATAGCCATTGTAGTGGTTCGGGAAGGATCGATGGGAAGAAGTGATCAGTAAATTCCCGATTGAAGCTTGTGCCAAGTGAGTCGACGATGGAGGATATGCGCTGAGTCAATTCGGGTCGGTGCTGACAAAACACTGATACCATCGAATGTACCATGTATTCGCTTGCTGACCTACTAAGTAGCGTACCCACCTCTGTGGTACGGATCGGGTCTGCGCCGTGTAGTGCCGTGGAATGGGTTGGTGCAGAGTACGAAATACCGAGTAGGACCAGGTTATCCGTCATAATTCGGTCGAGGAGCGAGGATGGGGGTGAGCCAATGCCGCACCAGACCACGGATGCATTCGGTATGTGCTGACTGGCCTGGATCGGAAGTATCATAGGCGGGACCAACAAGCGCGATGTTTTGGTTTAAACCGAAATTTGGAAGTAGTACTTCAAGAGCGTGATTAACCGGGTTATGGGGAACATCTGTTGATGTGTCAGTGATGGGTGAGGGTACGGTAGTTCTTCTACATGCTATGCAGCTTGTTTGTTTGTTTGTTTTTGTATTCAAAGGTGCGCCAGCAGTTTCTAAAATTTTCGCATTCATGGACATAGTATAATACCAAGTACATACGTATTTCACTGATGGGTAAATATATGTATTTGGCCAAGCACTCGTCATAATTGTTTTGAGTCCAGGATTATGCTTCCTCATTTATGATGTCGGTGTTGCTTGGGTTATAATTGATACTCAAGCGTGCAAACATACTTGACCTGTTTGTAGCGTGTGCATCCGTGATCACAAGAAGGGGCCTTGTTCCTACTATTGTAAA